GATGATCGAGCGGCAGCGGCTGGAGCTGCGGCAGCAGGAGCTGCGGGCGCGCTACAATCTCAGCCAGGGCGGCTACGAGGAGCTCGAGCGCGTCGTGCTGCGCCTCAAGCCGCACAAGGCCGGCGTGCAGTGGCGCTTCGCCGGCTCCTTCTACTTCGCCATCACCGTCATCACCACCATCGGTAACTACTCGCCAGGCGTGGGGCGGGAACCCGGGGGCTGGGCGCTGGGTTCTGGGGTAGTCCGGAGCCGGCTGGGGTTGGGCGGCTTCCCCGGAGAGGGTTTAGGCGCCGAACCGCGCTCCCAGAAACCGGAGTTCAGCCTGGCGTGTCTGCTCCGCGGGGACAGGGCTCAGGGGAGGCGTCGAATCCTGGCTCCGGACCTGACTCTCCGACAGGGCCAGCCCTAACTTGTCCCTGCCAGGCTTCGAGAGGGCCCCAGGGGACTCTTAAGTGTGAGAGGGGCAGGAACGACCGGCGGAGGCTGGGGAGGAGGGGTGTGGCCGGGCCAGGCCCTGGAGCAGGGTGCCGTGTGTAAGTAGTGGGGAGCGCTGGACTCCTCCGTGTCCCTGCAAATGGGCTCCCGCACCCCAGCGTGTCTACACCGGCTGGGGCTCCAGGGAGACGTGTGGATGCAGGTACTCGGCACTCTAAGGCACACCGGATCACTCTGGGTGCCTGAAACACCCAGTAACAGTGGCTATGAGTACCGCTTGGTGGTGAGCGGTGTGTATTTCTGTGTGTGTGTGTGTGTGTGTACCCAGCTTCAGGAGTTTGGGCTCTGCCAGCTAGTGCCTTTAATTTTCCTAGGGCAGCAGAGCTGGTACTGGAAGCCAGATCCAGCCCTGTCTGCCTTCTTTACTGCTGTCCCAGGAAAACAGTCACCTCACAGGAATGGCCCCAGTTCTTCAAACCAGGGCAGGCCACTGTGTAAGAGGCCACCTACATACCCAGACTCCCTCACAACATAGGCACAGGTGCGCACACAGGACACACGAGCACACACACAAAACATACAAATGGATATCAAGGAAAGAATCCCTAGTGAGTCATTTGATATGCTGTTCAAAAGTGTCCAAAGAGGAATAAGCACCTTACACACTCCCCAAACTCCATGATTCCAGCCCAGCTCCATCACCTCTCCCTCGGTATGACCATGGGCAAGTCCCTTCTGCTGCCTGGGTCTTAAGCTCACCTCTGACAATGAGGTGAAATGATCTCAAGGGCTTCTCCCAGTCCTGACATACTCCCAGCCCAGCCCACCTTCCCCTGAAGCCCATTGGGATGCCTCCAGGAGCTGTTTCCTCCATCTTTCCCATTCCTTCTCCTCTCCCCGGTCCCCCTCCTAGCCTTGGCTGAGTTCCCAGGGGCTCACTGCCATTTGGCATAACCCATGGCAAGATGACAGTGTTTTCCTGAGAGGCAACAGGAGTTGAGGGGGTAAAATACAGTATTGGACACTATCCCTGCAGTCTATCCACTGCAGGGATCCGTCCCAAGGTCCCGATGTTCTCTGGGGGCCATGGGGAGCTATGCTATATGGTTTCTAGAAGATGAAGGAAAGGGCCCCAGGAGTGGATGCGGCCCAAGTGGAGGCACCTCTGGGTCCTACTGACTGTGGGTTTAGGGCAGGATGGTCAGACTCAGGTCTGCTCAAAGAGGAGCCTGCTTTCCTGGGAAGGACCAGACTGGGTTTTGTCTGGGGTTTCCTTCCATCTCCTACCTCCCTACCACCTGGCAGTGTTTCTGAAGCACTGAACATCCTTAGACCTTCCCTCTCCCTCTTCCCACACATCACACCCCTGGTTATGTACCCCTATATTTCTCAGCCCCATGGTCCCCAGCTCCACAGTAACTTCCCAACTGATCTCCTTACTTCCAGCCATACTTCCACTCAGGGCAAGCTCCCCAGGCTAATGTTGCCAGAAAGAGTTTCCCCAAGGTTTAGCTCTTACCATACCAGTACCCCTCTCAGAAGTCCTTAATGGCTCTCTGCTGGCTTCCATCTTTGTGTCTGACTTCATTTCTCATTTCTTACTGATATGATTCCTCCACTGCCGCTGAGAACACCTTAAGTGTGCCTGTCTGGCATACCTTTTTCTCTGTCTTCTATTTATCTTGTCTAAGTTAACTTTCCAAGTCCAGTTCAAATCTTAACTCCTCCTCGAAGTCTTCCAGACCATCCTAGGCCACTGCTCTCGACAGTTGCAGGACTTACTGTCAGGACGACCTGGGTGACACAGTGTAGGCTGTTTAGCTATTTACATTTCAGGGGGTGTATTTTGTCTCTTTAACTACAGGGAGTGTAATTAGCCCTCATGTGGGCAGGACCCTGTGGTTCCCATCTCTGTGCTCCCAGTGCTGGCACAGTACCCAGTGGTACATGAGCACTCAGAGAATGCTATGGATGGGTTTAAGGTGTGCAGGAATGAGAGGGCATCGTCCTTCCCCTCCATCCTGCCGTTTCCCAAAGTGTTTGTAGTCCTCACCAAGATAGACGCTAAAAGCTGGGAGCAGAGACAGACAGAGTGTGGTTCTGGTGATTATTTATTTATAAGGTGCTAGGCAAGTGGAAAGACAGAATCAAAGCACCACCCTAGTTCTGTGGGGGCCCCAGACTGGCACTGCCCACTCTCTGCCCTACCCGACCACCCCTGGACTTTCGTCACCTCTCACTCTGGCTATGCCCCCTAGCTAGAAGCTGTCCACTAGGCTCTGGTCCAGCTGTGATCAGACAGCTGGAAGAGGCCCTTTATTAGACTGATCTCGACCCAAAACCCAAAAGCAGCAGTCTCTGTCCATCATGGGTCTCCTGAGGCACCAGAAGTCCCTTTAGGACAGAATAATGACAGAACTTCCCATTCATTCAATGTCTGAGTGATCACAATGCACTTTCATCTTATCTCTTTTTGAGTCTCAGCCTTCATAGCTCAGGGAAGTTGCCAGGGCAGGTACTGCTAGCTCCATTGCAGATAAAGACATGGAGGTTCAGGAAGTGGAAGGGACTTCCCCAAAGTCACACAGCTGGTGAGCAGCGGAGTTAGAGCAAGAAGCTGGGACTTCTGACTCCAAGCCCAGTGTTTCTTCCCCTGCCAGTTTCTTGGCTGCTTCCTCTGCCTCCATATGCTGTGAAGCCTAGAGACAGCTGGGATTGGCATGGCCAAGACTCAGTGATGCCAGCTTGCAGGGCACTTGTGGGCAGCCCTGATTGGTTGAGGGTCAGTGGGGTCTGAGTTAGTCATTCACCTGGTTAGTCACAGTCACCACTGACGGCAGGGATTCCTCCAGCTCCCTCATCCCTGGTCTGGTAGTCAGGAAACCCTTCCTTTGTTGAGCCCTAAGTTCATCAAATGAGAACGGAAACTCTTTTCTGGGAAAGCTTAACCTCACTGGCTGTTGAGTCATTAAACTCCTCCGGGGCCCCAGCCCCATCTATTCATAGCCCAGAGGCTGTCAGAGCAGGAAGGGACCTTGAAATCAGCTGGTGCCACCCCCTCCTCTTACCCAGAAGGAACCAAAGAGGTGAAGGGAATCACACAGTCAAAGGGTAGCAAAACCTGACTCCCAGGCCCCCATTCCTTCCTTGGGCAAGCTGCCCTTTATTTATTATTATTAGTAGTAGTATTATTAACAGCAGCAACAGCAACAATAATAAGAGCAGCCACCATTTATTAACTACTCTTTGGCAGGCTGTATACGAGACACTTCATTTGTATTCCCTCATTCAACTCTCTCATCAACCCTTCAAGATGGGCATTATTATCTCCATTTTTCAGCAGAGGAACCTAAGGCTCTGAGTGTAAATGACTCACCATGGCCTTGTGACTTGAAAGTATGGATTCAATGGAGCCTCTCTGAATCCCATGCCCTAGATTTTTTTGCCAGTTCTTTCTCCACTTCCAGAGCCCAGCCCAGACCTCTGTATCTTGGGGATGCCAAGTAGCCAAGGCTTATCTCTTCCCCCGGCAAAGCCCTCCCCAGGAGACGGCCTCTTGCTCCAGCACACCACGGCCAGCCTGCAGCTCTCCCGCACCCTGGCCCCCGACCTACCCAGACCAAGTGCCACAGCTGCACCCAGCACCAGGTCCTTTCAGAGACTGCCGCCGGCTCACAGGTGCCCATTCTCCCACCGCAGGTCTCTGGAATCCTTGTGGCTCTAAGGCAACAAGAGACCAGGTAATTGATTAACTGTGGGAGCTGGGGCAGAAAACCTTCTGTTCTGCTTTCTCCTCAGCTTCCAGCCTGTTCTCAGCAGTGCAGGCTCCCATCACCCATCATATGGCCTGGGAGTCCTTAGATTGTGAATTCAACCAGGTGGCTCAAGAGGGAACTTGTACTTTTTACATCTTTCCAAGAAGTTGGAAAGGATAGAGGTGACCTACCACCCCCAACCCCAAATCCGAGAGTCCTCAAAGAGTGAGAGGAGACATTAGTCTCATACAAACACCCAGAGAGGTGAGTGGCTGCTCAAATTCACACAGCAAGTCATAGGTACAACCCTTTGGGGACCCAGACTAGAGATCTCTCCATCACCCCAGTCTATTTCCCCTCATGACCTCCCATCTCCCTTAGCACCAGGGCCTCTGTCTGTTATCACTTGACTGTTCCCAGTCCTCTCTTGACTTCCTGGGTCAGCGGAGAGGCAGCTCAGCCTGGAATAGTCCCACTGCCCACTCTCAGTCAGCATTTCCTTCCTCCCTGTTCACAGACCACCCCTCTGATTCGACCACACAGCCTTTTCTGAGGGTGGTGTAGGAACGCGGGTGCTAGCTTGGAAGCCTGGGTACCTGGGTTCATCTCTCAAACCCTGTCTCCACCTGCCATCCTCACCCCCTGCTACTAGCTGTGTGATCTTGGACAAGTTACTTAGTCTCTCTGAGCTTGTTTTGTCATTTAGAAAATGGGGATGGTAATATCTTTCTCCTAGGACTGAACAGGATGATGTAAAGAAAGTGCCTGGTACGGAGTACGTGTTTAATAAACAGTATCTGCAGTTATAAATGTTATTAATATTATTGCTCATGTATTATCACTTTCCCTACAGAAGGGAACTGCTCTGTTTCCCCAGGATTATTATGACCACAGCACCTCTACTCCTTCCTAATAGGTGGGGACAGAGGGGCTAGGGACCAGAGGCTGCCACACCCTTCTCTTTACCCTTCTAATCCCACTCCTCCATCCCA